GCCTACAAATCATATTAATGATTGTTACTTTTGCATGGTACCTTGTGTTGGACAAGCCACAGGTATGTCCAAGAAAAAAAATCGGTTATTAACTACCCAAACATACCATCTGCGATGAGACCTGTGCCTCACAGTGACGAAAATCCTATTCCAAAACCCCCAGAATCCTACACTTGCGAATCAGAAAACGAATCAGATCATGGCGATCGAGTGATTCGTCAGGAAGAAGATATGCCATCAACGTCAAGAGATCCTGATTTTATACCGAGCACGTCATGCCACCAACCGCACAAAATAACACAGTCAGAATTAAATGATCTTGTAAGAGATTTAGAACATCCAAAATGTAAGGCAGAGTTACTTGGATCAAGACTGCAGCAGTGGAACTTGTTAGAAGACGATGTTTCGGTATGTGTTTTTCGTAAACGCCACAAAGACTTAGAACCATTTTTCAATATGGAGAATAACTTGGTTTTCTGCAGTAATATTAACGGCTTACTGGCGGCTTTAAATATAAACTATAACCCAGAAGAATGGAGATTGTTTATAGACAGTTCAACATTGAGTTTAAAGGCAGTGTTATTGCATATTGGAAATATTTTACCATCTCTTCCTGTAGGGATGCAGTTCACATGAAAGAATCATATGACAATATGAAGTACCTATTGACATGCATAAAATACGATGAGCACCAATGGCATATTTGTGGCGATTTGAAAGTTGTTGCACTTTTACTTGGGCTGCAGCTAGGCTACACAAAGTTTTGCTGTTTTTTGTGTGAATGGGACAGTCGGGCAAAGGCACTTCATTACACCACACAAAACTGGCCTGTTCGTCAATTCCTAGCGCCCGGTCAAAAAAATGTATAATGCATATGCCATTAGTAGATTCGAAAAAAAATTTTATTACCACCACTGCATATCAAGTTGGGCCTAATGAAAAACTTTGTCAAGGCATTAGATAGAGATGGGTCAGCTTTTCAATACCTGCGTCAGAAATTTCCAAGACTAAGTGAGGCAAAGGTTAAAGAAGGTATTTTTTGAAAACACCTTTAACAGGTATTGAAAAAACTGCTTGGAATGATTTCCGTCTGGTGGTCACTAATTTCTTGGAAAATAGAAAAGCTGACAACTATAAAACCCTTGTCAAAAATATGCTGTCATCGTATCAAAAGATGAGCTGTAATATGTCTCTTAAGATACATTTCCTACACTCACACCTGGACTTTTTTCCTGACAATTGCGGAGCCGTAAGTGATGAGCACGGCGAACGTTTTCATCAGGATATTTCAACAATGGAAAAAAGGTACCAGGGAAAGTGGAATCCTTCCATGCTTGCAGACTACTGTTGGACTCTTGGTAAAGATGCTCCAGAAACGATCCATAAAAGAACAGCAGAAAGACAACGCATATAGTGATTCTTATAAGTATATGAATCTTGTTACTTTTTTTAATGTATCCTTAAAAATAAAAAGTTTTTTTTCTAAACCGCACCTAATTTTTTCATTTCATTGTCATTTTTGGATTCAGCGCCCCAAAATTAACAAAGAAGTGCACTTTTCCCACAAGATACAATTAAAAAACTAAAATTTGTTGTCCAGTGATAAGTAACTCAGCATTTGTCTAGATAGAGGAAATACGATGTCATATCTGAAGTATTTTCTTTGGATTTCTGAAAAATAAGGTTAACGCCAACAAAATAAGCACTATAGCTGAATGGCAATGTCTGGGAAGCTACTATAGGCTACCTCAATAACGGCCAAATCAACCTCCTTCTCAGGCCTCCTAGATCTCCAGAACATTAGCCAGCAGGACACGCGTGACCCCTTTATCATTCTCCAAGAACGTTACCAGTTGTTCGGGATGAGATACAGCTAGCTTGCGATCAGAAACAAGTGGACAGATGTACACTGAGTGACAAAATGTATGTTTATTGTTACTGGTACATATCGATTTATCTTGCCATGAACAACAAGAATGGTCAGATTTTTCTGTTTAGTTTTTGTGGAGGTTGCGTGTATTGTTTGGTGATAAAGAAGCATTCAGTTCTCGTACATTTACGGTGTCAGTTAAATGTTAAATTCTGTGTAGCTTTTTGAGAAGCCCTCTATCTTTTTCATTTAATTTTAAACATATGGGGCACAAAGGTCCGTCAACTAAATTTGACATAGACGCCATCTTTGTTTTCTGTCACCGACATGTCATTTTGTTAATGAATGTTTACCATTGATCGCTATGGAGGCGTATTCGATTGAAGACCGCATTAAAGTTATTCAAGAGCACTACAAAAATGGTGCAAAAATAAAAAACACGTTTCGCGCGCTTCGTGAACATTTCGGTCGCAACAACCGCCCAAACGAAACAACCATCGGTCGTGTGGTGCGTGAATTCGAGGCAACAGGTTCTGTGGCAAATCTGCCAGGCTCTGGCCGGCCAAGGAGCGTTCGCACACCGGAAAATATTGCTGTTGTGAAGGAGAGTGTGAGAGACGATCCGAAACAATCAACAACGCGTCGATCCCAAGAATTGGGCATTTCGAGAACCAGTTTGCTCCGCATTCTCCACAAGGATTTGAATGTACACGCCTACAAGATCCAATTGACGCAAGAGCTTCGTCGGCCCGACCATTTTTCGCGCCGAACGTTCTCAGATTGGCTCCTTGAACACCGCCAAATTGATGCCAATTTTTCATCAAAAATCATGTTCAGCGGCGAAGCGCATTTCACTTTGAATGGGATGGTAAACAAGCAAAACTGCCGCATCTGGGCGAACGAAAATCCCCGTGAGTATCAAGAGCAGCATCCTCAAAAAGTGACTGTGTGGTGTGCATTGTGGTCAAAAGGCATCATCGGACCTTACTTTTTCGAAAATGCGGCCGGGGAAGCCGTTACCGTCAATTCTGAGCGATATGACGTGATGATAGAGGACTAGAGGAAATGTGCCATGGCCACCAAGATCGTGCGATTTGACTCCCTTGGACTTCTTTTAATAGGGATATTTTGAAAAGCAAAGTCTACGTCAACAAACCAGCCACCCTCCAAGAACTCAACAACAACATCATTGCCGAGATAAATGCCATAGAACCGACCATGTTGCAAAATGTCATTGAAAATTTCGACCATGTCGTGGACGTCTGTAAATCCAGTCGTGGTGAACATTTGAGCGATATTATTTTTCATACATAAATGGTATAAATGAACCTTCAAAATAAAGTACCCAACTTGATTTGAATATCAATCTTTCTTGTTTTAATGTGCGTTTACTTTCCTGCGTTCGTTTTGGACAACCCCATATATGTGGACCACTGTGTATCTTTAGTTGCAATTTGTGCGACGATGCGCTTTGGATGATGTTGTAAACGCGAACGTGTAAGGTACAAACAGAAAATCGACCAAAAAGGATTTGTTTGTATTTCATCTCGATTAACCGAGCATTTAAATATAAATTGGTCCGTAAATCGAAAGGGAATCGAGTATAATTCGAAGGATTTTGTAATGATTGTTTGGTTTTGTTTTGTTCACGCTCCCGGTTATTTGAGCAAATTGGCAGTAATTGCGCGAATTCGTAACGCCTCTCGGATGAGTTGTGATGCAGTTTTAATCACACGTTCCAAGAGTAAATATATTTGGTGGACCATTCGCGAACGCTGTTCACGGGAATAAGCAGTGAAGGAGCTTCAACCGTTGTTTACAATTTGTAGACAATGTACGAACAGATGTTTCGAGACCTTAAAGATTGTATAGACAATCGAAGTCCGAACTAGAACTTTTGAATTAGTACCAACACAGAAACTCACATGGAGCATTGTCTTAATGTCTTCATGAACGTAATCATCATCATCATCATAATCGTCACTGCTGTTACTGGGGTTTCTCAAGTTTCCATTTCAGGACCTATTTTTTGCATTCTCTATATCAGTCAGATTGATTCAGTGTGTGAGGATCCACTGTCACACATAAATATTTTGAGTATACTTCAATCCCATAATAATATTTCCGAGATATCTCAAATGGTTTGCGTTTTATTTAAAAAAAAAGTTGTCAAGTTCTTAATGGAAAACTCTTTAAATTACACGCCTACAATGCATCTTCAGCAGAAAGCCACGTTTGCCTGAGCCTAGACACCTTATAAGCACAGCCTCGAGTATAAATAGATCATGAAAATTGTTCTGATAACTCCCTTATATCATTTTCATGTTTTGTAACAAATGTAATCGAATAACGGAACACCGCAGAGTTCCTCGATAAAGCTTTTCAAAAATATTTGTGTAGCTTCAATGCTATAACGTATATTTAGCATAAAAAGGCAGCTAGAATGATACAATAATTAACTTGTAAATTGTTATTCGTGTAGAACCGCTGATATTAAAGTGCAACACTCGAATCTGGTCGGTATCGTTCCTCTCAAACAGTCTGTTGAAATACAACCCGGTTTCAAGCTCTGGTATCGCATCAGGATCGAAAGCACCGGAATCGAAACCGAAATTATCAGAAGTGGGATCAAAACTATCGGAATCGATTCCTCCTAGCTGATAGGAACCGTTGCATTCAATTCCTTCTGCAGCATTGTTCCTTTGGCACGACTCGTTCAGAATCGACCCAGCGCTAGTGGGCCCCAGGGTATGAAGGGGATGAAATGGTGATAATTATGACAAGCAAACGATGAATCAAGAAAATGTCCCCAGGAGCCCACACCCACATATGTTGGTTGAACCTGAGAGGAAGGCTCTGAAGCCATGATGGGGCTTCTGACTAGAGCAAGAAAAAAGGATCACACGTAAAAAATGTAGAGTCAATTTAATTGATATATTCTTAATAGAAAACTGGGAAAGTGTTCAATTATGATGTTACCTATTGGTATAGCGTGAGAAGCAAACAATACCCAAATATGATTGATGCTTGTTATTCTTGCACGGCACCCTTATTTGAACAGCAATCGTATCACTTGATTGATTATATTTACTTAATTGGCGAGAACGAAAAAATCGATTAGAAAAATATAGCCATTTACACCTTTATTAGCCCTTATATTAGCCCTTCTTCAGTCCGCTCGTAATTTATTCCTTTGATAGTTTTACGAATCATTAGGTTGTGACCAAATAGTTTTACAGGGGGTGAGTCTTTTCAAAGGGTGCGGGATCCTCCCCTTGTGCTCTGCTGCTGAATAGAATACTGTTCCATTTATTTTGTCTCGAACAGGGGTGTATTCGGGACAAGGGGCACTTCATATGTAGCTCCATAAAATTGTGGAATCTATAGAAATACGATTCGGTAAAGCATTATGATAAGTATGGCTAAGAGAAATTGCTGGGAATTATTTTCAGCTTCCTAAAATGGCCGCTAGGTGGCGTCATTCAAATTTCAAAAATTCGAATGCCATTATTTCGAAAAACTGTATAATAATTAAATAGCCTTACCGTGTTGGCAGCTCAATTTCAGAATTTCTTTGGTAACGTCATTTTCTCATATTTTGATTAGTTTGACGAGTATAATGTCAAAAGTGACATGACCTCTGTTCGATTGCACCGATTTTGATGATCTTGATCTTGTTTGAAAAAGTATTCATCTGCCCTCTTGATAATTGTCAGCTTAGTCCGGTTTATGGTCGCTAGATGGCGCTCCAGTTCTTTCGCGTCTCTTCCAGGTATCCTACGAATCCGGTATTTTCCCAGAGAATTGGCAATTTTCTGATATTCAGTCCGCTCCAAAAAAGGATCTGAGACTTACACCTCTGTTTTTCATAACCTCCTGGTGATTTTTCGCGGCTGCTGACAATCATTCCTCTATGGTACGTTATACCTGTTGATTACTTTAAATCTTATTCACCTTAAACGTCCTTCAAATTTAAGAAATCGAAATCACTTGACGGTAGGTCTGGCGAGTACAGTGGGTAGTCTACTAAATCAAAACCTGCTTGGTGTAGACCAGCCGTAGCAATAGCTGGGAACATAATCCTGATCGAACAGTTCACCACACTGTATATTAAACAGGGTGTCTGAAAAGTCCCAATAATTTGTAAATTATTAATGTTATGAAAATACTTAGCCCCGCGATTAATAACAGTTTTTCCCATTTATATAATGGTGACCTTGGATTTTACCTTGATCGTTACCGTCAAGGTCATTGAAAGGTCAAGTCAATTTTCTTCAAAGGAAACCTCCCATTTTTAAATGAACAAAGCGGAAAATTCTAAGTTCAAATATATTCCTGAACATTCTTAAATTTTGGCCTTAAGAGGTCAAACCCAGGTAAGCACTTGTCTATGGTTTCTCCTCGGATATCGAATTGTGACCTTTGATCTTGACAATGATGACAATCAAGGTCATGTGATTTTTGTAGCCAGGAAACAACAGTGGAGCCAGTTTATCTGGTGTTTACATAGTTTTCTGAATGATCAAGAAATTTGGGCAAGCTTGTGTTTAACCTTGATGGTCAAGTTGCAGAAATGATCAAGGACATATTCGAACATAAAATTTTCCATTTCTGTATTTCCGCGGTCGAAAGTGTAGGGTTCTATTAAAAACAGTCGACCTTCAAATGACATTGTAGGTAAAGTTCAAGGTCAGATCCAAGGTCACCATTGAATGTCCAGGGTAAACAAATGAAAATGTTGTTTCGGTGGTTTCCCTATACAAACACTGTCTTTCAAGTTATATCACCGCACATGGGTATATATAATAATAATAATAATAATAATAATAATAATAATATTTATTCACTCAATGTACAAAGATAACAAACAATATGAGTAAATAAATATAAAATCAAAACAGGCCCAATAGAAGGCATCGCCTGTACATGGACCAATAAATTTAAGTTGAAACTGTAGAATGCAAACGACAAAAAAGGACAAAAATTAGCTACAGTAGATTATGTATTTAGTTGATTTTCGTATTTATGAGTTTATGAATTTCAGTCCTAGATATAGAATGTAGCCACTTTTTTAAATTTCTTTTGAAACAATTTCCGAAACGTAAATCTTTTAAGTCTTTAGGTATAATTTCATAAAATTTAGGCGCTAAATAGAGATATGATCGCTGCATTATAGATTTATGCGGTTGAGGAACTACTGTGCCACGAATTTTGTACCTGGTATAATGATTATGTTAAATTTTTTGGTCGGTGTTTACAAATTTATGATAGTGAGTGATACTGTGTAAGAAATAAAGCTGTCTTATATCATACATTCGAACATCTGCGTATAATTTTTCAGTGGGATAAAGTTTCGGTTTTTTAAATATCATTTTTAGAATACTTTTTTGAAAAACATCTAAATTATAGATATGTGAGGAACATGCAGCTCCCCATGCTAATATACCATATGTGAGATGAGGCTCAATCAGTGCATGCTATAATGTTCGAAGATATTTTTCTGTCAATATATTCCCAAGGTATTTAATTTTGTAGGATACAAATCTAACTTTCTTTAAAATATAATTGACATGGATGTCCCATCGAAAGTGAGGATCCAAGACCACTCCAAGGTATTTTATGTTGGGCACTCTATTAATTTGCATTTTTTGATCATTAATATTGAAGGAGAAATTTGTGTAATTTGGCAGATGTCTAGCATAAGATCCAAATGGTAAAAAATGTGTTTTAGAGTAGTTAATGCTTAATTTTCTACTGTTAAACTACCGAATAATTTTGATAAAATCATTTTCAATTAAATTTTTCGGATCAGACCAGTCAGTGCCTTCATATAATATTACAGTATCATCTGCAAAACTAGTTATTTTGCCAACACAATTAATTTGGAAAATATCATTTAAATATATATTGAATAACAGCGGACCTAAGACAGTTCCTTGTGGGACACCACACTTAATATATATGACCTTGACCATGACATTCTAAGGTCAAAATTCAAAAATTATCAACTCGTACGTACAATTTTCCGCTCTTTCCATTTGGGACGTCCAAAATATTGAGTATCGTTTAAAAATCGACTTGACCTTAAAATGACCTTGAAGATCATGCTCAAATCCAAGGCCAAGTAGCTGCTGAAAGCTCCTATCAATAGAAAGAATCAGGCATGGAAATAAGACACCCTTTAGAAAGTCCACCCCTGTGGGTGATAAACGACGTAACATAAAGATCGAGGGTGTAATATGTACAAAGGGCAGCTATTGAATATTTCATGGGCTGCACTGTGACAGCTGTTCAGCTAAGCTTTGCTATATTGCCACTACTTTAACACTTAATGTTCTATAACGAATGCCAATTTGCCCTTTTTTCCACGCATCTCGGCAGGTTATTCTTTGTATTGTGGAACAAGTGCAGTTTGTCAGCACATGCCAATATTAAAGAGAAAGTTTTATATATATATAACAAAAAAATAGGAAAATAATGGGCAAAATCCGCAAAAAGAAGGAGTGTATTCGAGCACAAAATAGGATAGGTAACCCGAGCGATACGTATTTCTGCTGGTTGGCTTCATCAGGCCCGAAATGAAAGCACATATGAAGATGGAGAGGGAAAAAATCACACACGAAGTCCGCAACAAGAGCCAACCTACACATTGTGTTGCAAGCAAAGATCGAAAAGATATCGTAAAAAATAAGTGAGACGTTTGAATTTCAAAATAAATACCTCGAATAACTCGCCGTTTGTTAGCTCCTGTTCTCTATTTTGTAATGTGATGACACGTATTGGAAAAATCAATGTATAGATTAATTTTTATTTGTTTCAGGTGCCATCAAATTTGGCATCAGCCGGCTAGTGTCGAAGTCTGATGATGAAGACGAAAGTAGCAATAACAATCTGGTGAGGTGTCCAAAAGATGAAGCGACATGCTACAGCGGAGACGAAAGGATGTCGCCTCCCAGATATGCTAGTGAACACAGGTGAGCTGAATGTCAAAATGCGTTCAATAAAGTATTTTTAAGTGCGTCATATCATCATTCGAAGAAGAATCATTGTCACTGTGGTGGTCGAAACGTCAGTAAAAAGTAATAAATACATATACGTGAATTCATTTGGCCAGAAAATCAAAATCAAAAAAGGCAAACGTTAACGTTTACGTGTGCGGTATTGGTGGTTGCCAAAACTCTTTGGGTTGGTATACAATAACGTTTGATTTTATATCATACTATCTGTGTCGGTATACAATAAAACGTGCGATCTATCATCTTGGCAATCACAAATACCGCATGAACATATAAATATGCATTTTTTTCAGCAGCTACGTAAACGCTAACTATAAACTATAATCCATGGGCATTTTAAGACTTAAGTGTCAACCTCAACATTTACAGAGCTCTAGATGCTTGTGACGATTTGTTGGACTGTGATAAACAACGCAAGTTTAAGTGGGGATTTCTATTTCACAGTTGAGCTCCTCGATCAATCATGTCATTGTCTTCATTTTTGGTACCTTACTATAGAAGAGGATGCATCTTAGGACATAAAAAGTATAGCAGAAGAGTAATGGACTGATTTTTTATATACTAAAGTACATAAGCGCCCGCAGAAATTTTTCTTTGGATGGAGAGGAATCATCGGCGAGTGTACCTACCTCAAAAACTTTTTGAAGAGCTTGTGGTTGCATATTTTCTCAGGAGAGGCCAATGCTGAAAATCTGCAAATTTGCAAATTTTAAGAACCAACTGGATCCTCAAAAAGTCCACTACTTTTCTACTAGACCTCGTATATCCATGAAAATAATTCGTATCAGGTACTTGTTCTATAAATATCTTCACCTGCTATATTGTTTCTAGATGGGAAGGAAAAGAATCGCCCCGACCATCTACCAGCACCTCCCCAGAACTAGAAGTGGATTCACCGCCACACTCAAGAACGAATAGCCCTTCACCAGTAACTGAAATTCCAAAAATAGAGTCACCTAGTAAAAAATCTGAAGCCTTCTCAGTTAGTGCGCTTTTGAGGCCTGACAATCCCAAGAAAACGGAGAACCCATGTTACCAAGAAACGATATCAGGTATGGAAACGGTGTAGATGTGAAAATTCAAGAGTAGGCACCTTGTTCGGATACTTATACATATTTGCAAAGGTTTCAGAAAGGACCTTAGTTTTGAACCGTATTTTTTTTCTAGTGACAAGATCGTACTTGTATCCACCCTTCATCGACCTGATGAAAGACGCCCACATGAAGTCAGCTCAGGAATACACTTCACAACTAATCCCCAGGATACACCCAGGCTTCTTCCCATCTGGGTTCTACCCTTCTCAGAAGGATGGTGAAGAAAGGGGGTTTCTACCGACCACGTCACTCTACTTCAGTGCTATGGCAGCCGCCATGGCTGGAGGGCAGACGCAACCAAGTCAGTACCCAGGACATCCTTCTCCAGAAGAGCTGTACAGGTTAGAACATGTTAAAATAAGCAAGCTTATAGCGAAATCTACTACGTCCCAAAAATCTTCAATATCGAATCCTGTCTTGACTCCAGCAAAGTATTAGGTAGAAAGGTCAGTGTTTAACCCAGATTACAGTGAATGCTGTCAAGATGCTCCTGATGCTTGCATGTGTTCAAGCCGTTTTCCTAGAGGTTTCCACCCCGCACCAGCTGGGTTTATTTATCTCGTACAAAGGCTGTTGCATAATAAGAAAAAAGTTGACATAACGGCGACAAATTCGGTCGGTATTTCTAAGCAACATGAGGTAAACGGTACTCGAAGTTTCTTATCAAACGAGTACATTTCTCCATTATTTTATTTACTTACGAGGCTCTATCCCTAGTTAGCTTTGTCACTTCAGGCCCAGCTGTTTCAGAAAAGAAAAGTCATATTCTTCAGAACGTTGAGTCTTTCGAGTTCCTTATGGAACACCGACGTTGACATTATGGGACATAGATCTATCTCTGTCAGTGGCAGTGTCACTGGTGACAGTTGAAGGAGTGGATCGTGACTACGCATTGTAGTGTCATAATTTTGGCAATACAGGGTGTCCGCAAAGTTGGGGTTTTCCTTTACATGACGTGTAGATCTTGAAAACATAAGCAATTTTTCTTAGTACAATATACACCAATGTCTTAAGGGAACCGAGATAAAGGGCTCTGCAACATCAAAAATATCTGAATACCGTCCTGTAGCCGCGACCCGCGACATCACCGAGTGGTACAAGGTCACTGGCTCAACCCGACGACAGAACTGGGTCGGGGTCAGTGTGTCAGGTCAGTATGCAACCTTCAACCGACGGTTACGGTCACGCGTAATGGGGTGAATAACTTTCGCGACACTCATGTTTGGTCAGTAGAAAATCCGCACGCTGTCCGTCGGGCACATTTTCAACAAACATTTTCGGTGAATGTTTGGGCTGGCATGCTGAACGGTATGCTCATTGGACGATTTATTCTCCCAAATCGATTGGACGGGATGTAATACCTAGACTTTTTACGCAACCTTTTGCCTTCCTTGTCTGCTCGGTAGCGCATCAGCTGATTTCATTTTCTGTTGGAGCGGTATGATTTCGGGCAGAGACGTACTTAGCCCTTCTCGTCAACTGGAGAGTGAGTACTTTTTCCTTTATTTTTTTTACTTGGTCGCCCTCGTTTCACTACACATTACCTTCGTTATTTCAAGGGTAGTTGTTTCTGAAAAGGTAAACGAACCCGTATAATAGATTGCGTTTCAAAAAACAACAAGCACTAGAGACGTGGCTAGAGAAGTGCAAGTATCAAAAAGAAAAGTGTGGCAAACGCTGCGTGAAGAGGGGCTTTATCCGTTTCACGTCCAACGTGTACAAGCCCTTCAACCTGACGATTTTCCAGCAAGAGTGCGGTTTTGTGAGTGGTTGTTGCATCAACATGACAATAATCCGGACTTTTTGAAGTGCATATTGGTGACAGACGAATCTACGTTCACGCGGATGGGGTGAATAACTTTCGCAACACTCATGTTTGGTCAGTAGAAAATCCGCACGCTGTCCGTCGGGCACATTTTCAACAAACATTTTCGGTGAATGTTTGGGCTGGCATGGTGAATGGTATGCTCATTGGACCATTTATTCTCCCAAATCGATTGAACGGGATGCAATACCTAGACTTTTTACGCAACATTTTGCCTTCCTTGTTAGAAGATGTGCCAGTAAGTGTAAGACAATCAATATGGTTTCTGCACGATGGTGCACCGCCCCATTTTAGACGTGCGTGAGTTTTTGAATGAATTATTTCCGAATAGGTGGATCGGACGTAATGGACCCGTAGCGTGGCCTCCGCGATCTCCAGACTTAACATCATGTGATTTTTTTCTTTGGGAAGAAATGAAACGCTTAGTGTACAAAACTGAAGTGCATACGGTTGACGAACTTCGTCTCAGAATTGAACAAGCTGGTGCTTTCATTCGGGGGAGGGACTCCATTCTCAAAGCCTGCACCGATGCTGGGCTACGTCGTGCACGCACCTGTGTTTTTGAATCAAACGGCGATAACTTCGAACAATACCTATAAAGTACGTTTACCTAAAAACTGAAAACGCGGCAACGCCGTCATATTTGTTACTTCTGTTCGTGGTCTGCACCACCGCCGGCGTCTGCTCGGTAGCGCATCAGCTGATTTCATTTTCTGTTGGAGCGGTATGATTTCGGGCAGAGACGCACTTAGCCCTTCTCGTCAACTGGAGAGTGAGTACTTTTTCCTTTATTTATTTTTACTTGGTCGCCCTCGTTTCACTACACATTACCTTTGTTATTTCAAGGGTAGTTGTTTCTGAAAAGGAAAACCCCAACTTTGCGGACACTCTGTGGCCCCCAAAAGCCTCATTCCGGGGCTCTCTTGTGTGTGTAATCTTTCTCTGTTCTCTGTATATTTTTAGCAAAGTCACATTGGCTGCCTGACTGAAGAATTCTAAACAAATCTTTGTCTGTTCCAGGTTACGACACCAACTAATCAACAACCCTTCTAGTCTTCATTCCCACCACCATCATTTGCTTATGCGACCCGGTATGGTACCTCTTGGTGACGTCTACTCCTGCATCAAATGTGAAAAGATGTTCTCCACTCCACACGGTCTAGAGGTGCATGCTAGGAGATCGCATAACGGAAAGAGGCCTTTCGCTTGTGAACTGTGCAATAAAACGTTTGGTCATGAGATCAGCTTGAGTCAGCATAGGTAAGTAGATAATTCTGGTACTTAGATCTTTTTCGTTTAGCTCTGTCAATGATCACCACAAATTAGATGCTCGATCCTGGACGTGTAGCGGCATCTCCAAGGTCAACGCCAGCTATAGTCCATGAGACATCTCTGCTCTTCAGAATCTATAACCAGTCAAAATTCAAGACTGTGTTTATACAAACATATGTGGGATCCTCTGTCTTTTGAACAACGCTGTAGAACCGCTAAAATTCCGTTAGATTGGCTAATTCCTGACATTTTATAATAATAAAGTTAGTAGACTGCAACCGCGTGCTTGCTTTTCGTTGTCTATCTCTAATGCAAGATCTATACAGACTGATGATTGCTAATAAGTATGAAACAACGTCGTATATGGTTGATTTCGGTCGCAGATAGGGAAAGCAAACTGATTCAGTTTAGCCGCTGAATACTCATAATCATTTTTTTATCCTTTGCAGAGCTGTACATAACGTAGAAAAAGTCTTCGAGTGCAAGCAGTGTGGAAAATCCTTCAAGCGATCGTCGACGTTATCAACGCACCTTCTGATACATTCCGATACGAGGCCGTATCCATGTCAGTATTGCGGCAAGAGGTTCCATCAGAAGTCCGATATGAAGAAACACACTTACATACACACTGGTGAGTCTCAAAGGCATGCGATTATGATCTTCAACTCCTTGAGCTCCTCCTTGACAAAATTTTCGCGCTGCCCATGTTTAACAGCGCGCGCTGTTACGTAGCACGTTCCACAAGGTCATGCGTGCTTCGGCAATATATTTGATAATTTTTAGAACGTTTCACTTTGCGTCACATACCTTATTTTCACTGAACTACATAAATATGAACGCCGCTTTTATGACACGTAAAGGAGTAACGTAAGATTGGTTGATCCTCAGAGTCTGTAACGGATGACTGCCTGAGACATATGATATTTCCAATGTGAAACATGCTACGTAACAATGCGCACTGTTAGACACGCTCCGCGCGAAAATTTGGTCAAGGAATCATTTTGATTGCAGAAAGGATATTGTTTCTCTACTCTATTTTGTTATTTGGTATCTCTATGGGTCCCGAGCATCGTGTTATTGGCCATCATAAGCAAGAGGAGTCTCTATAATGGGTAGAGCGTACGCGTTTAACAAATACCCTGTTATTTCAAGAATTTTTTCGCAACACACTGATTAAAAAAGTAGGCCCAATTACTATAAGCAGCGTACAACGCCAAAAAACTACATTTTTATCCACAACAAGTTGAATTTTTTGTTTTGGTGCCTGTATTTTAATTTGAATTGAATTTGAAAAAACATTTGTTATACGTCTTAGAAATGACGCTTAAAAAATTAACATTTCCTGCTTAATCAAGGTGATGAGTCCCACCGAACTCGAATCTACTTGTTGGAAGTTTGTAACTTCTCTTCCCAAGACAAGGTATTTTCTACCATTCATTAAGCGACTCTTAATATAATCAGGATCCTGAGTAATTCACTGCAGCACAAATCAATAGCTGTTGCTACCCCTTCTAGTCTAAACATTTCTGAACGTTAAGTTATAGTCCAGGGAAAATATTATTTCTATTCCTAATTAAAGCAGCAAACAATCCAACTTGGCCTAAAGATGATAGCGCCGTATTGCGGAACCGTCAAACAAGAAATCGCTAGTTAGTGTCGTTGAAATTCGGTAGATTCGAGGACCAGATCGGTAGAAAAAAATCAAGGCCGACGCAAGATTAGAGCACATCGTTTTTGAAGAAATATTAACTTCTTTATAAAATTCTGATGGAAAACGAGGATCTTTTCAATCAATAACCACCAACCTTCTTCACTGTCTCTACGATTGGACACAGTCTCTGGACACGAACACTCCAGTTGAAATAATTAGATGTAGACTTCTCCGGAGCTCTTGATCGCGTCCCACACAGAATACTGCTTTTTAAGCTGGATCGTCTCGGAATTAGAGGCGAGTTCTTTTTCCGTGCGCGTCAGAGGTAGCCAGTCTTCCCTCCATCGTGTGGCAACCGGAGTTCCTCAAGGGTCTGCCTTGAGTCCCGTGCTTTTCCTTTTGTACACATGTGACCTGCCTGTCTTGTTTTGTCCGCCAAATGTTCTGCTCTAGCGAGAACTTGACATTGTTCGTTAATGGCCAGACAGTTGGCTTCTACCCTTAAACCTATAAAAGCGTTGTGTCTTAGACCTCGGGAAAACCAATCGCACCATCGTCATCTCTATACTATAACTATCTAAAACTGTAATGACTCATCGATGTTCATGTGAACATCACTTAACTACCAGTAGTCGGCTGTTCATAGGCGGGGTATGAATGTTTAAAATGGGTGAACTAGATTTGTCACATGCTTAATAAAGAGTGGTTTGAAACATATTGTAAGTAAAAAATTTGGGAATTACCTTTATTCATCGTCGCTTCCACTTACATATGACAGTAATAAACTGTCGCTATCGCTTTCCTCTTTGAAATTGACTATAACTGGCTCTATGATGGTGTCGATGTGGTGGTCAAGCTGTCACATTTTTGTTTCTTCCTTCACAACATGACGGATAGCATTCTGCCAAGCTTCGGGCGTTACTAGCTGTACGGAAGTCTCAAGTAAAACCTTAACGTCTGGTAATTTGAAGGTTGTGTTATGGCGCGCAATATAACCCTTCACTTGAGCCCAGATGAGCTCTATTGGGTTCAGTTCACAGTGGTAGGGCGGTAACCGCAGCACAGTGACACCACATTGACGGGCCATCTCATCAGTCACGTAACTAATGTTCGCAGGTTTGTGCTGTTTAATTTTTTCATACAATTCCGCTTTCACACATGAATCTTCAAACGGGATTCCTTTTTCGCGCAACCATTGCTGCATGTCACTTTTTCGAGATCCCATAGTCGGTACACGTTCGGCTCGACGACTATGGTAGGAAGCATTATCCATGACGATCACAGAGTTGGGCTCAACTCGCTGAAGCACCCCTTGAAACCAGCTCTCGAAGCAGCTG